ACCCTTGAATCCAATGTGATAGTGGTGTTGGTTGTAATTGTTCTTCCACAGTCAGTGCTTTCTTACTATAGTGATTTTCTGTGCTTGCTTTTAAATGAAAAATTGTGCATTCTTGTGTTCTACATGAGTCAGTGTTCTTTTCCTTTTTCTAGGAGTTTTGAAAAGAATGGATTGGCTGCTCAACCTGATGGGCTACATCAGAAGTGTAGCGAGCAAATCAACACCCTTAGAAAATGTCAATCTTCAAGAGGTACATGCTGTGAAAATAATTTGCAGCAGTAATAAGATGATGTTCTGGTGTATTTCACATTCTTTCTCAGCAATAAGTATTATTCCTCAAGCTTTTATATTTTCGAAGATTGTGATCATACCTCCACAGGCAAAATCTTTTCATTTTTTGTGAATTAATTTCAAACTCTTACTTTTAAATAACCGTGACATTTATATTATGATAGAAGCTAGAGGCAACAAAAGGCAATAATGTTTTCAAATTTACTGTGTTTAGAACAATTGAAGTAAACTGTCTGAGCAGGTCAGAACTATGCACCTGCTGTTTCTGAGAGGACTTCCACAGTTTATAGAGAAATAATGTTCTCTTTAAGTCTTCTGGTTGAAGACATAAAATAAGCTGCTGCTTAGATCAGAAAGACATTTGTTACATTGCTGCAATATTTCCCAGCTGTTCGTAGTGCCACAAGAGTGACCATCTCTGATTTCCCTCAACAGTCAGGTTGCTCTGAAGAAGTTATTTCCCCATTTTAAATGAAATGTGGATCAGCTTTAATCTAAATGATGGTATTAGAAGAGTGTGGTTTTGCTTTTCTTTCTGTAGACGTTTTAGTTTGATTTTGAATTTATAAAGAGACTTATGCAGTTTTACAGCAGAAAAGAATATTAAGAATTTTTTAGTTCTTGCATTTTGCGTTTTAGCTGAATTTTCATGATTGTTTCAAAGAGCAAGTCACCGTCTGGATTTTGCTGTTGGGTTTTTGGTGGGGGTTTTTTTGTTTGTTTGTTTCGTGGTGAGGTTTATTACTTGGGCTTTTTTCCACCTTCTGTATTATTCATTCAATAAACATAATTTTTGCCTTTTTCCTGTTTAGTGCACAGATTTCCTCCTGTGGCTGTTTGCAGCTTCTGTGGTGGCCTGGGCTGACCATGGTGCACCATTACTTCTTGGCCTCAGTGCTAACTGGTCATTGTGGAAACACCACATGATATTACCAGAATTACCCGAGGATCGTGTTGGCAAGCATCCCACTGACAAGTTTGCTGTGCAAGAGACTCTCGCTCTCCTTCCAAGCAGCATTTCCCTTTTGCTGGCTAAAGAGCCTTGGAAGGAACAAACACAGAAGGTAAAATTGCATTGTAGTAGTAAGCATTTCATAAGGATCAGAGAGCAGCCCATTTTTAGTAGTCAGCTCAGTTCTTATTTATTGCATCTGAATTGTGATCTCACTTGTCTTTGTTTTTAATCAGATATGTAGTTTCTCAAGTAAAATGGGAGACTTAAAAAGAAAAATATTCCTATGCTGAGAGTCAAACTCTTATGAAGGTACGGTTGGGAGAGGAGTGTTGGGAGCTGCTAGAACCAAGTCTCTCTTTTAAACACTGAAAGACAGATCTTCTGCAGCTGGACACACCGTGATGTCAATTTAGGGCAATCAAAGATCTTCTGTACTGTTTGTAGTGTGTGTGTGTCATTTGTTTTCAAGGATGAGTTGAAAGGAAGCCTGGAAAATTGTGCCTAATTTGGCTAACCTACTATAGATAGTTGATACATGTGGAAATACTGCTAGAAACCTATAGATGAATAGTTAGCTGTTTGGTGCAAGTCAAAATTTGTTAAGCACTCATTCCTCCAAGCATGCTCCTATGCTCAAGATTTTCCACTGAAGTCATAATTCAGAATGTGGGAGAAATGCAGGGGTGAGCTGTTAATGTTCAAGTGCTTAATTAGGCTTTAGGGAAGAATTTGAGACCTTGCCCTGAAACTCATCCTCCTAAGTGTGAAACACCATATTGTCCTTCAGGCACCCTGCACTGCCAGAAGGAAAAGAAAAAGCGAAGAAAAATGAGAGAGGTCAACAGAGGAACAAAGGCAGTAAGAGTTCTGAAGGATTTGCAGTAAAACGTTTGGACAAGACTGATAAGAAAAGGTTCATATTAATAAGTTAAAGGCACAAACAGGCAAAATGGAGGCAAACCATTTACTGTGCCTTCTTCGTTACAAAGAAATATTGCTGAGATAATGAGAAGGGACAAAGGGAGTGTCAGATCCAGCTGTGGCAAAAATTGCACTGGCAATGAGATGAACTCTAGAGCGTTTGGATGCAGAAGGCAGAAGCTTCATTGGCCACTGCCTCTGATTAGATAACTAAATTTAGCAGCAATCAAATGTGCCTGTAAAACTGAAAGGAGTTTGTAGTGTTCTGATACAGAGGCTCTTTTAATTCAGTTTTTTTTTCATATTTCAATGTTTAGTTTATTGACTGGCTGATCAATATGATGCAAAGTCCTAAGGAAGTGTTATCAGAATCTTCTATGGACCTGCTGAAAGGTAAGATATTATTAAATGGGTCCTTATTTAACGATAGCTATCCGTACAAATTAAAATGCAGTTGTTAAAAGGAGTGACATGAGCTGTATTTTGTCTTTAAGGAAACTCTTACAGGTAAGTTGCCATTCCTGTCTGTAGTACTTTCTTATACTTGGTGTCTCATCTGCTGACGCTTATGATGCAGCACTGAGGGTCCAGAGGGCATAAAGGTACATCTAGTTCTACAAGCATATTTCAGTGATAGGTTTGCCCATTGTTTTTGAAGTTACTCTTAAAAATAAAATGCAATACTGTTTGGAAATAGTACTAGAATAGAAATCACACGATTTACTCAGGTGCAGCTGACGAACTGCACTGTGGGGAAGGGGTAGGAGATGGGCAATGACAGCCTAGTAAAGTGGTCTGACAAAAAAGGGAAGAGGAATGAGGGTTGCTAAAAAGATATATGAAAATGAAGGTGGAAAGTACATGATACTTCAAATTACAGTTAGGACCTGTGGCCCGAGCATGTATCCCATTGCTCACCCACATATGTCAGATTGTGAATACAATCTGTGCAAGACATTTTAAGAGGACACCACAAATACTCTCAAGTGACATAAGTGTGCTTGTACTGCTTGCATAGCACAAGGCACCTCCTTTGGATCACCTATTTATTGGACCTAAGCAAGGCTTCTTGAAGTCCAGTTGTAAGTTCTTTGCATTAGTAGAATAATTAGCCATGTTTTGAGGGTCTGCAGTATTTAGTCACTCTCTGATAAATTGCCTTGGTGTGTCTGCTTATCTCTACCAGAAGCAATGCTAAGGACTGTTGGATAATCTACTCCGTACAGTAGGATTCTGATGTACACAGTGTATTCTCAGTATGCCCTGGTTGAGATGAGTCATTGTTCCCCTTGAGCTCTCCATTGTGTTTTGCTTTTATGTACTAGAACATGAAACTCCTTCCTGAATAACTAGAACGTGACTAGTGTGGTTACTGGATTTTGTCTAAACACATGATCCTTTCAAATTGCGTTAAGGAATCAGTGAATTGCATTTCCAATCAGTGGAGGACAATTTCCAATCAGCACAGAGGACTTACGACTTTGTGCTTCTGTCTTCCCAGTGCCTCCTCTCTTCCTTCTTGCATCATGGCTCATTGAATTCAAATTTTCTGCAATGTTGGCTGATCTATCTGCCATAGTGATGTACTAATTAGCAGATGATGTGGTATGATCTCCATGGAGACATGCCATGAAGCAAAGGAAAGGCATAGTACAATATCACACTTCAGACAGGTGTAGAGACTAGTGTGTCTTGCAAACAGTGGAAGTAGCATCAGAAATCATCAGACTATAAAGTGAAGGAGTCATGAAAAGAGTCAGGAAAAGGAGAACCAAATCTATACGTGTGTTAGTAAAATGACTAGGGAGAATACTCTTCAGTTTGGACTGCACATATTGATGTCATTTGTTCCTGTCTTCACAGCTGCACTTCTGGCCTTGAGATCTCTTGCAGAGTTCAAGAAGAAAGCAGTGTGGACTAAAGCTTATGGGTGGTAGCTGCACATCGTGTCTTATCCAGTGAAGAAAACTGTTCATACTTGAAACCATAATATTACTCCTCAGGCATCAAGAAGTCAAATTTCAAAGAGGTTTCCTCTCAAAACTTTGGATTGATTTTTTTTTTTTTTTTTTTTCCCCCCCCCGTACCTTTTGCCTCAGCCCAAAGACTCCTGAGATGAAGAACCAAGTTTTTAACTGACAGGTTGGGGTTCTTCTGCAAACTACCTAGCATGGTTTGAGCTGTGCTGAATCTAAATAAGAAATACACACTTCAGTTTTTTCAATTGAGTTGTTTCAGTGACATCTGGGAACCTCAAAAACCGGAGTGGAATATTCGCTTAACTCATACAAGCTTTGTAGGAATGGTTGGAAATAAAACAAACTAGTAAAATTTCTTTGGATGTAGCCTATTTACTAAAGTATGTTTTAGTGTAACAGACTTCTGAATGAGCATTGTTTTTTAACCAATAATCCTTTTCTTAGCTTATAACACAAAGTCCTTGTGCAGTAATGACAACAGATAGGTGAGCAGGGTTTCTGCAACGTCTTTATAAAGATCACTGAAATAAATCAATGATCCTGATGGCTGTTACATCCACAGCTCCAGGACAGCTGCAATTTTCTTTACACTTACAACTATTCTTGTCTCCTTTACCCTTCTTTGCATATAAAGAGAGTCTTTAGGGAAAAAGGAGAATACAGCAACTCTTTTCCACCTTTACCATCTTAAATAGATTAGCCACTGCTATTTTCCTTATTTAATACTCTCTCTGGAGGAATAGAGAACTTTTCTGCTTTGCAGTCTTGCAAAGACAGATCTTAAAGGAGATTTTTTTTATTTAGCAATCCTCCTTGCTGGAGTAGACAAAAATTAACTGAATATACTTACTTGGGCACTGATCCCTAATGTCTTTCAAAACAGGGAGAGCATTGTTGGTTTTGATCAGCTTGAAGAAAATGTTATTGTCTTGCATCTAGAAGACACACCCCATTGCAGGTACTCTTATTTTCAGGACCGATAACACTCTCTGTGAAAGAAATTCTCCTCTGACTTCTTTATAGGATTTTCTCATCTAACAGGACTACTGTGGGATAGCAGTGAGCTTCTCTCAGCAACTGGACATTTCTTCAGTAGTTGGGTGTGTAGAGGATTAATGCAGTATTCGTCTGCATTTCCAAAGTAATGTATAATTAATGGCAATTTCCTGATGCATATGCAGCTGTATACTGTGAAGACTGTCTAAAGGTAAATGTGCAGAAGGGCTCACTGAAAGCAGCTGTCACCAAGTCAGTCTCCCTGTTCATGTCATTTCAATTTGTGGACACTCCTAAGTAACTTCTAACAAAGCCAAATGTGTCATGTTTTAATGATGTACTAGTGTACTGTTTCAGACTAACACCTTTACTCATCTCAGTTTGCATGTGTATTAGCTTTTTAATTCAGATTACATTTTTTGTCTTTTTTAAACGGAATTGCTGGGTGATGACCACTTGCTGTGTTTCAGTTTGCATAGTAGAGCAGTATATAAACATCTGAATTAACTGAATTTCTACTCATGCATAGCAGAAACTGTAATCCAAGGCATGACATAACATGGCCTGAGGGTGGCAATGCTAACACAGCTGCAAGGAGCACTGAGGGTTTAGGAGCATATCTGGAATGCCTCCACACCAATACACACAGTATAAGAAATAAGCAAAGATAAACTGGAAGAATTGGTCAGCTCCCAGAGCTGTGATATTACTGGGATTAGTGAGGCTTGGTAGAAGGAGTCCCATGACTGGAGTGCTGGGTTCCAGGGCCATAGGCTGTTCAGGACCAGTTAGGCAAGGCAGAGGAGCTGCACTGTATGGTGTAAGGGACTGGTTTGACTGTACAGCCCTTACAGTTAGGGATCGTGTGGTTGAAATCCTGTGTGTGAGGATTTGGGGGACTGGAAACAAAGCAGATGTGTTTGTGGATGTCTACTGTTCACTCAGCTGTGATACCAGCACCAAGTATTTAATCTATAGGCAATGAGGAGAAATCTCTGGATCAGCAGCCCTTGTCCTTACAGAAGATTTCAACTACACAGACATCAACTGGGAATACCAGACTACTGTGAAAAGCAAGTCTGAGAAACTCCGGAATTATGTGGAAGATAATTTTTTGTCACAAGTGTGCACTGAGCCAATTAGGAAAGATGCCCCCCGACTTGTTTGTGAGTAGGGAAGGACTCATGGGATATGGGATGGTAGGTGTCTCTCTTGGCCACAGTGATCATGAAATGGCTGAGTTTAAACTTTTTGCTGTAAAGGAGAAAAAAGGTTAGTAGAGTTGCTACCCTAGATTTCAAGAGACCAAACCTTAAACTGCTCAGGGAGGCAATTAGCAGTGTGCTCTGGGAATATGCTTTTGAGGACTTAGGGATCCATGAGTACTGGTCAGCCTTTAAGAACCACTGGAGCAGTCAATCACACCATGTCAAATATCAAGCAAGAAGGGCAGAAGAGCAGCTTGGCTGAGCAGGGAACTCCTCTCAGAACTCCTGAGTAAAAGAAATTTTATGATCTGTGGTAGCTGGTCAGACTTCACAGGAAGATCACAGAGCTGTGGTGGGGATTTCTTCTGTCATTAATTTCATGCCATTTTCTCACAGTTTAGGTTTGGAGGGCCTCCCCACAGTGAATTTTAAAGAGTCCTTTTCCTATTCCAGCCTTTTAGCCAGCTGTAAGGCTCAGTAACATAACATTTATTTTAACATAAAGCAATAAACATGGCTTAATATGAATATCTGTGATAGGTTTTACCTCTACTGGCTGCCAGATGCCCATTCAGCTGCTCCTCTCACTCCACTTCCTAAACAGAACAGGGAGAAACAGACTGAGAAAGTTTGTGGGGCAAGATAAAGACAGGGACATTATTTACCATTCACCTTGTGATTCAACTTGTGGAAGAATAATTTATTGCCAATTAAAAATAGAGTAGGATTGTAAGAAACACAGACAAAACTAAAATCACCTTCCCCTCACCTGTCCCTTCTTCCTAGGCTCAACTTTACTCCTTCATTCCTCAATCTTCTACTTCCTCCCACCCCAGGCACTGCAAGGTGGGTTGGCAATGGGGGTTTCTCACAGTTCATAAACCTTCATCTCTGCTGCTTGCTTCTCTTCACACTGTTCCTCTGCTCCAGCATGGGGTCCCTCCTGTGGGGTACAGTCCTTCATGGTTCCTTCTCACAGACTACAGCTCCTCAAGCACTTCTCTGCAAGTATGGATCCTTTTCGTGGGCTTCTCCAGTATGGGTCCCT